AACCATACAAAGTTTCAAAACGCTGCCTATGGAGATTTTTAAGTACCGTTTGGCGCAATTCCACAAGCTTGCACAATTTCAAAGCATGATATATTAGGTATCTATTTACTTAGTGTAACAAAATGTTTCATATTTTACAAAAAAAATTGGGTTTGTACTGTGTTTTTTTAAATTCATCAAAGTGTATTTTAATTTAAAAAATTGCACTTGAAACACCGCTGTGCAAAAACCACATGACATAAAAATGTTCAGTGACTGCCATTTTATTCTCTAGGGCCTCTGCCAAAATAACTATTATGTTTGGGGGTTCTAAGTAATGTTTTAGCAAAAATTACTGATTTTTACTTTGTAAACAAAGAGTGTCAGAAAAAGGCCTGATCCTTAAGTAGTTAAATATATATGATATAAAAAGTGTTTAGTGGATTTCTCTTTTAAATTGTTTTCCAGCATATTGAGAAGAAATGATGCATTCTGTGTCTATATTGAATGATACTACTTCTTTATTTTTTAAACTTTTTTTGCACAATCCTAATTACATCATACTTGGTTATCATTTTACTTAAATGATGTATAAGTGCGATTAAATATTTAACACAATTTTTATAAAAAAGTTACACATAACAGTAAATATTTATTGAATACATTAAGTAGTGGACTGTAGCATAAAACACAACAATGTACCAGTGTTATGTGAAATATATTATTCAGAAAAAGTTATATTTACAGTAATACTTTTTATTTTCCTAAAATGCTACAGTGATTATAATTGCAGGAACCGAGTAAAAAGTGAGACTGACCACTAGGTGGTTGGACACAGTTGTGGGGATGACACTGGAGGACCACGCCAGACTAGCACAAAGCCGACTTCTTTTTAGACCTCTTATTCATCAATTCGCTAGGAATCGGACTTGAGTTGATGGCACTTAACAAATAATAATGATCAATCATATCTCTCCTGTCTCATACTAGTTCCTTGTCATATTAATAGTTAGCAATTTATTGATAACTACAGTAACTTGCAACCAATTTACTGATAGCTAACTAGTAACTAATCTAATGTTGTCTTTCTGTTGTCACCACACAACTGCTTCAAGACTGCTTTTAACAATAATGATACTGAGAATGATACTACGGGGTTGATTTAATAAAACTGGAGAGTACAACATCTGGTGCAAAATCTGGTGCAGCTCTACATAGAAACCAATCAGTGAAAGCTTAACTGAACAAGCTGATGCTAGAAGCTGATTGGCTACCATGCACAGCTGCACCATATTTTACACTCTTCAGTATTAGTAAACCAAACCCTCTGAGCGGGCCGTGGATACGGGGGTACCACCAGTCCTCCTGTACAGGGCCCAGGCCAGCGGGGGGGGGGCCAGGCAGCTGGTTGAATCAGATGTGGGCAGAGAGGGTGGCTTCTTCTCCTCTAACTCCCGATGGTTGTCAGCTACTGCAGAGGGTCATACAGGGGGTCGGTCCCAGTAGATGCCACCACCACACCCATCACCCTCCCTGTTCACCATACATTTCCTCCTGTTGCCCAGGACCCCCTTGCCAGCTTCCCTCCTCTCCAACAGCAGTTGCAAGCACACAATAGGATCCTTCAGTATGGATAGTGGGGGAATATGTCTCATTTACCAGCCCATTTCTTTCCTGAATGAACAAAATGAGAAATTGGTAACAATCATTCGCTGTGTTCATTCATAACTGAAGCCTAGTAAACTGTTGTTTTGTTTGGTAGAGGGGCCCTGTCAGGTTTGTTGTATGGGGCCCTGTGGTTTCTCACAGCAGCCCTGCCTCTGAGTTTCTAAACCATATAATAAAATAGCTTGGAAATACAATGTGCAATATTTACCAAAAGATATTATTTTATAATATTATATAAAAAAATGACCCTATCCAGAGATTTGACAAAAATGACTGTGCCTTAATGAAGGAAACAAGCCAAAAGTTTATCTTTATGTACCTGCATAGCATATAAATCTAGCATGGATGTTACATGAAATTATGTATTACTGCTAAACATGTTAAGAAGCATGCCATACAATCATATAGTGCATGACAGATAAAAAAAAGAGTTGGGCTGTTTATCATCTGTTTCACGCTGTGATAATTTAGTAAACACCTACAAGCAATCATAATTCATTGAACTTGTCAATGTAAAGAGTGTGAAAATCTGATCATAAGATGACTGTATCTGTTAACATTTTACCAAGAGAAATAAACATCTCAGTGCTATGTCCACTGAAAAAAAACTACTCGGCAATTGTCTGTTGTCACGCAACACTGAGCCATGCCTCTAAGACCAGCTCAGCTTTAGCATCACAGCTTTGCATGTAGAAATTATGCCTCTGAATGCTGGAGCCAAGTGACCAGCTACTACTGTATGTTTCAGTAATACTTTGACAGCAATACTGACACCTCACAAATGTGTTATGGCACTGGTTGAAGTTACTTTTCTTCAAATCATCTGAAAAAAAAAAACACCTGAAGTTTGCAGACTATTAGACACCACCCTTACCTATAAAATGGTCTCCAACCAAAGGTCACAGAATGACACACTGATGAATTCCTCACATTATTTTAAGTAACTTCATTTGTTGTGTAAATTACATAAAACACATTTATCATGTATGTTTTACAAGAGAGTTGCTACTGAAGAATTTCAATTACTTAGTCCATGAGACATAACCATTTTCCATAAAATGATTTCCAAACTGTCAGAGAATGACCAACTGATAAACTTCCCACATAGTATTGCTGTAGCAAGAAATAGCTGTTATTATTTCCAAAATTCTTGCCGCTGCTGGGAGCTCAGCTCCTGATGGTGTGGGTAGATCCCCAGAATTACATCTACCAAGAGCCTTTATCCTACACAGTCTGAGAAATAAATGTATGCAGATGAAATGGGACATAGAGGGGTGCACATTGTCAGAGTTCTGTAGTCCAGCAGGCAGACCTAACTACATTACAATGCAATGATTTTTAGTAGGCTAATGGGTATTTTTCTGTAGTTGCCGTGGAAAGATTTATAAACTCCTGAAAATGGTTTTAAAGCTTATATTTTGTAAAATGTGAAAGTGAATGTAACTGGCATTTGCAACTGCTGTGTAGCCATACAAGCTGGTAAATAATGTTGTGTAACATCATCTTTTAAACTTTATCAGGCAAAGTGCAGCCTGTGACTGCTAGAGGCCCAATATCAGTAGGGTCCCAGTATTCCGGAAAAGAAAAACTGCCTTTAGTCCCGACATTTCCACCTAACATTCAAAGTGCACTTGTGCCCAGACTATGGGTATTAAAGTGCATTAAAAGGAATTATTTTTAACAAACAGTATAAGAAATATAAAGACGATCCCTGACCTCTCTAGCTGCATGTACTGTGAGGTATATCATCCTCAAAGATAATAACCGAGACTATGTTGGATTTCAGTTGAGTACCATAGCTTAAAACACCTATATTACATCTATTAAAAGGATTTTCTGTTTCCCCCAAAAATAGGGAAAGATAGGTTGCAATTTAGCGACATCTATTGTGGATACATTTGAAGATGAATTTATCCACAATGTCTTTGGCAAGAGATGTGAATTTGAGCTTGCTTTAAAGTGCTTTAAAGCATAAGTTCACCTTTCCTAACATGTTACATGTTAAACCCATATAGGATGGATGTAACATGTTACTGATGCAGCAGCCCCCACACCTCCTTCCAATCCCCCATTGTGACAGCAGGCTTGGGATCTTCTCTGTCAGAATTTAAAAAAACATGACCATGTGGGGCTCTGCTATGTCATTTATTCACAGAGTTTTGCAAATGAGGGAATTACAGCTGCCGCCAGCCATTGTAGCTGACGACTTTTAGTTCTCAATGAACTACCAGGGCGCTGACAGGTAGTTGTAGTAGTAGGTAGTTGATGCTTTCTGTCATTCACTAACTGCCTGCCTGTACTGGTTGTGGGCAGACAGCTACACTGACAGTCTGCAGGTCCAGGAGCCTAAGACTGCACACATGATCTGCTGATTGCACGTGCAATGCTTTCCAGACTCCCATTAAAAAGTAATAAATGTACTTTTTTTAACCTGCTAAAAGATGTGCATTTCTTTATTTTTCCTTTTACAAAGGTGAGTGTATACTTTAACTGCTTGTCATGTATATGTAGAAACTTTAATGTGCATAGTATAGACACAGATACGTTTTAAACTGAATCTGCATTTCTGCCCTGCCATTGTAATAGTTACTGTATAGTGGGTTTGTAAAAATACTTTTTATATTTTGTATTCATTTTATTTAAAAATAACAGCATAATAAAATATAAAATAGTCATGTGATATTGGTGGTAAAGAAGAGACCAAATTATTTTTTGCTAATTATAAATACTAGTATTTTTTTCATGAAAGATATGTGCTTACTGCAGTAAGTGAATTGCTGTTCCTGTTCCTGTTCCTGTATCATTTGTCAGTATCTGTTTCTAAACATACTAATAATTTGCTTTTTGTTTTTTTGAAATGCATTTTTGGTTGATTTTTGGTTTGATTTTTGAAAATATTATATTGCAGTTGAGTCCTTTTCTGTAACTGAAGTTCGCAGTGTGAAGCTCCTGTGGCTAAGGCGTGTGTGCACGGTATCCTCACTTATTGCATTGTCAAGTCTTGATAGAATACTCATCTTAAACTTCTTGAAATCCTGGCCCATAATAACATACACAATAGGATTTACACAACTGTTGGCAATAGCAAGAGCAGTGGCAATAGGCAAGCCGATCTTGAATAAATAGTGTGAAAAAGTGTGGTGGTATAGCTCCAAAACATGCAGTATATGGAATGGTGACCAGCAAATGAAGAACGCCACAATAATCGTACATATGATCTTAAAGGGTTTTCTGGATTTTGCTATCTTGTTTTTCTTGAGTTTGAAGACAATTGTAATATAACTGAATGTTATTAGGATGAGAGGGATTATATATCCAAAAACAAATCTTATTACTACCATCGTAGTGTGGGTGTCATTAAAATCGTTTTTACCAAACATTGAATAATTATTGAAACAGATTTGCTTGTTATTTTCAAGTCCAGTATCACGGAAAACAAAAGAAGGTGAGCTTAGGAAGAATCCAATAAACCATGTGACTGCAGACAGAAAGCTGGCAAGCCTGGTGGAACGATGGTTCTGTGACCAAACAGGAAGCACAACAGATATGCAACGATCCAGACTAATAATGGTCAGCAGAAGGACACTAGTGAACATGTTCAATGCCAAAATGAAAGAGTTCAGTTTACACATGGCCTTTCCAAATATCCAGTGGTGATCCATGGCTGTATAAACCACAGTCAGAGGTAGGAAAAATGTGAACATAAAGTCAGCTAAGGCCAGATTAAAAAGCCAGATAGTGTTCACAGATTTCTTCATCTTAAAAGCAATTATACCAATGACGAGGCCGTTTCCAATGACACCCAAAAACCAGACAACCATGTAGAGTAGAGTAGGAGCAATCCGGATAGCTATGTCACTGACTTTGCTGTGGTCCTCATTGTGGATAACATTTAATGTGTCTTCATAATAATCCTCAGTGCTATAAGCATATTTGCTTATCTCATATTCATTATCCATAGCCTGAAAAAAGATTTGGAAAACATTATGTCATTAATTTTAGAAAAATTACTTGTGGTGAAGGAAATTTTAGATCAGAACACAAATCATGTCACCACCAGAACAGTATACTTAGAAACTTAGCATGCAGGACATTGTCTGAGTTGTTAGTACTGTGACCTTGCAGATCTGGGGTCCCAAGTTTGATTTGAACAAGATAATTATCTGTGTGGAGTTTAAAAGATGTTTTTCCTACATCTATATGGGTCTTCTTATAGGTGCGTGGCTAACTTCCCACATTTCAAAACCATACCACAATTGTTAATGGGGTGTATTTTTTCTGTCTTTTGCAGGTAAGAATTAGGTTGCAAATTAGTATTCTTTCTAGGGCATAGAATGGAATTAATGGTTCTATGTACTCATTAAAGCTCTGAAAATTACAGTTGTGTCCAAAATTATTCAACCCCCACTGAAATTGAGTGTTTTGGCCAGTTTGACATTGCTTTTGATCATTCAGTCATCTTGCTTACATTTACATTAAAGAGGCACTTGTAGGTCAGACAAATATAACATAACAGTTATAATGAAATAACCACAAATGTCTTTTCTGTGCTCACAGCATTATCAGTTTTATTCAACCCCCAAGTGACATTCAATCTTAGTACTTAGTACAGCATCCTTTTACAGTTATAACAGCTTTTAAACGTGAAGCATAGCTTGACACAAGTGTCTTGCAGCGATCTACGGGTATCTTCGCCCATTCTTCATGGGCAAAGGCCTCCAGTTCAGTCACATTCTTAGGCTTGCGCACTGCAACTGCTTTCTTTAAGTCCCACCAGAGGTTCTCAATCGGATTTAAGTCTGGTGACTGCGATGGCCACTCCAAAATGTTCCAGCCTTTCCTCTGCAACCATGCTCTAGTGGACTTGGAGGTATGCTTGGGATCATTGTCCTGTTGAAAGGTCCAACGTCTCCCAAGCCTCAGGTGTGTGACGGACTGCATCACGTTTCCATCCAATATCTCCTGGTACTGAAGAGAATTCATGGTACCTTGCACACGCTGAAGCTTCCCTGTACCTGCAGAAGCAAAACAGCCCCAAAGCATGATTGACCCTCCACCATGCTTCACAGTAGGCAAGGTGTTCTTTTCATCATAGGCCTTGTTCTTCCTCCTCCAAACATAGCGTTGATCCATGGGCCCAAACAGTTCTAATTTTGTTTCATCAGTCCACAGAACACTATCCCACAACTTTTGTGGTTTGTCCACATGGCTTTTGGCATACTGCAGTCGACTCTTCTTATTCTTTGGAGACAGCAAGGGGGTACGCCTGGGAGTTCTGGCACGGAGGCCTTCATTACGCAGTGTGCGTCTTATTGTCTGGGCTGAAACTTCTGTACCCACATCTGACAAATCTTTTCTCAGTTCCTCAGCAGTCACACGGGGACTTCTCTCCACTCTACGCTTCAGGTAGCGCACAGCAGTCGAAGTCAGCATCTTCTTTCTGCCACGACCAGGTAGCGTTTCAACAGTGCCCTTTGCCTTGAATTTGCGAATGATGCTTCCTAAGGTGTCTCTTGGTATGTTTAACATCTTTGCAATCTTCTTATAGCCATTGCCCTTCCTGTGAAGAGAAATCACCTCTTCTCTTGTCTTCCTGGACCATTCTCTTGCCTTCACCATGTTTGTAACCACACCAGTAAATGTCTAGAAGGAGCTGAGTATCACAGTCATTTTAAAGCTGCCTAATTGGTGCTTATTATGCTTGATTGCTGCTCGGTGACATCCACAGGTGTTTTCAATACCTGATGGAAAGCACCTGTATGAACCTCTGTTCTTCAGAGTGGTAGTCTTTAAGGGGTTGAATAATTGTGGCAATGAAGAAACCACATAAGAACCATTTACTACTGTATTACATAAACAATTGATGTCATTTTAGTTGCATTTGGGTAGTTACAACGTCCTTGTAGGATTTGATTCTGAATACAATTCCAAATGTACACTATAGTCCCTAAACCCCTTTACAGCATTGGGGGTTGAATAATTTTGGACACAACTGTATATGGTTTCAATATAATTATAAATTATTAAAACTGTGACATTTGGGTATATGAGTCCAGCTTGTTCTTCATATCTGTCTAATGTTTAGTTTTTAAATACCTCTGTCTGAAAATTGCTGTGGTATACATTTCTTGAGAGCATACAATGAAACGAGACATTAGTTAAATAGCTACAAAAATACAAAACAAAACAATGAAAACCTTTCTGAAGGAGTCTGTGTTTGAGTCACAGGGCATTCATCAAACCCATTGTGAAGTCTGTTGCAAATTTAAAATACAAACCCATTCAAGTGTATGTGATAATATCCTGAAAATCAGTTTTGCACATTTTCAAGGCTAATATGCAATGGATTGTCATAAAGGGCATCTGAAGCTGGTCACTGCCATGATTAATTTGACATCAGCCACTGGACAGTATGCAAGCAGCTTGGATAGGTCACAATATAAGAGGGAGAGACAAGACAGGTTTTTATCCTGAAATAAAAATTCGTGAGTTTTATTTCAGAGACAATAGCCATGAATATTGGAAGGTTACTGGACAATATGTGATCAGCTTGACTGGGTCACAATATAACAGGGAAAGCTGTGGCATTTTTATTCCTAACATAAAAATAAGGGAAATATTTTAGAGGCAATAGCCACACAGATAGTTCAGTAGCTGGACAGCATGTAAGCAGCCTGATTAGGCTGCAATTCAAAAGGATGAGACAAAGCAGATTTTATCCTTTATTATCTTTTTGAAATAAACATTAGACTGTATTAGATGATAGCCACAAATATTTTGAGTGATGGAGCTTTCACATTGGCTACAAACTTGAAGACAGAGTATTATTTAACCTGCAGCAAACATTATAAATTTTTCAGCTGAAATGTGTAGCACTTTTACAGTGCCACACACCAGCATAGGCCACAAAGTTTAAGACACAAAGCAGAATCAAGAAACAATATAAAGTTCTTCCATGTTTCCATGAAAGTCAACTAAATATATATTAGCCGGCCACTTTATTAGGTACACTTGTTCAATTGCTTGGTAGCACAAATTGCGAATCAGCCAATCACAATGCAGCAACTCAAGGCATTTAGGTATGTAGACGTGGTAAAGATGACTTGCTGAAGTTCAAACTGAGCATCAGAGTGGGGAAGAAAGGGGATTTAAGTGACTTTGAACGTGGCATGGTTGTCTGTGCCAGACGAACTGGTCTGGGTATTTTAAAAACTGCTGATCTACTAGGATTTTCATGCACAACCATCTCTAGGGTTTATAGAGATTGGTATGAAAAAGAGAAAATGTCCAGTGAGCGGCAGTTGTGTGGAAAAAATGCCTTGTTGATGTCAGAGGTCAGAGGAGAATGGACAGAGTGGTTACTGCAACATTCAGATGGTAGGATCAGAATTTGGCATAAACAACATGGATCCATCTTGTCTTGTATAAATGGTTCAGGCTGGTGGTGTAATGGTGTGGGGGATATTTTCTTGGCACTAGCAAGGTGTACCTAATAAAGTGTCTGGTGAGTGTATATCAGCAGTGAGTATAGACTGCTTCCCAAATCAAAGAATGCTAGAACAACCAAAAGAGGCCGTGTGTTTTGTCAACTCTGGACGGATATACTGTGGGTTATTTTTAAAAAATTAGAGATCTCTTCATCCCTAAAATGTGTGGTTATGTGAATGCAATAGGGAAGGGGTTGAAAATGAGGAAATGAGGGAGGATTCATTGCAAGCTTATATAACGATCATACTTAAAGAAGGGAAGGATAGCTCACAGTGTGCCAGTTATAGGCCCATATGCTTATTAAACATTGACACAAAACTGTATGCTAAGGTACTGGCAAGTAGACTGAAGGAGCTGATGCCGGAGTGGATACACCTGGATAAGGTAGGATTCATTCCTGGAAGAGAAGGAAGGGATAATCGCTTGAGATCATTGCTCCTCTTACAAAGAGTAAAGAGAGAGAAACTGCCGACAATATTCCTGTCGATCAATGCCGAAAAGGCTTTCAACAGGGTCAGCTGGGGATTTATGTTTGACATGCTAGAGGCCTGAGGATTAGGACCTAAAATGTTAAGGTAGATAAAAGGGCTTTATAACAGTCAGGCGGCGGCGGTTAAGGTCAATGGATTCCTCTCTCAGTTCTTTAAAATGTATAATGGTTCTAGACAAGGATGCCCACTCTCTCCTTTGCTGTTTGTATTATCCCTGGAACCCATCCTGGTGAGGGAAAGCAAGTGTGTAGATATAGCAGGAATAAAGATAGGGGAAGTGGAGCATAAGGTGGCAGCATATGCAAATGATATGTTATTCTATCTTGTAAATCTTAGAATAACATTGCCTAATTTAATGAGGCTATTAAAACAGTATGGTGAGCTATCAAATATGAAAATAAATCCTACAAAGTCAGATATTTTAAACATTAATATCCCAAAGCTAGAGAAGCTCAGTTTACAAAAATATTTTCCATTTAATTGGAGGGAAAAGGAAATAGGCTATCTGGGAATAAAACTAACTCCTTCAATAAAAGGCCTATATCAGGCAAATTATATTCCATTAATAAATGAAGTGAAGGATTAGTTGGGGAAACTTTCAAAGGGAGGAGCCTCCTGGATAGGTCGTATACACCTGGTAAAGATGTTGATAGTACTAAAAATTCTGTATAAGTTTCACATGCTCCCAGTACACCTACCAGGGTCTTTCTTTGGGATAATAAAGAAGATGATACTCAGGTTTATATGGGCAAATAAGAAACCGAGAATTAGGCATGAGGTTTTGTGTAGGGCAAAAGGGAACGGGGGATCGAGTCTGCCTAATGTTAGGAAATATTATTTATAACGAATAGTAGATTGGACATTTAATTCACAAGGGAAAGGCTGGGTAAATATGAAAGGGATTTTAAGTAAGGCCCTGTTAGGGAAGATTGTTTGGTTACCACATAATTTTTCACATTGGATGTGAATACCAGTCCTTTGAC